TCTTATTCTAACCTTTTCGTAGGCGTTTATCATTTTCTGGTCCGAAATAAGCAAGAATATTGTACAAAAGCTCAAAATATACACATAGAGCAGTGATACTGTCAAACTTAAGTAAAGATTGAAAGATTTTTTTAAAATGGCAAAGGTGTGAAATTCATTCAGAGGAAATTGCATTTGTAATTCTTTCAGTGACCATTTTGCAAATAAGCGTTCTTGTGTTATTGTAGTATCAAATATGTATTTGTCCTAGTTTTAAGGTTCTCTTTCTTGAAGGAGAAATGCACGAATAAAGCAAATATGCTTTGTCATAAACTATAAAAACATTTAGTCAAAAGGTGCAGCAATTATTCTGCACATAGTTCATTTTCGTGCACAAATTGACATTTATTCTGTGTACTTTAATGAACCCGACATGTACGTTTCATAGAAGTTTGATCTTAGAAAATATAAATGCCAAACAAATGTATTAAGATCTTAATTTAATGATATAGTGGCCATAAAAATAGCTGGATATCTTGCAATTTCTACACTTTTTACCTATAAAAAGAGACTTTAGCCATCTTTGGTAAGTGTCACGTACAATCATTACAACATCTGTTACATGACATCGACGATGGTGTTTTAGTTATATTGAGCTGGAACCTGCACTTTACAATGGAACTTGCCATAAAGGTATGTATAGTTTTATATTTTACCGTAGGTATAAAAAAGAAAGGTTTAAGACAGTATATTTTAGGTAGCAATTTGGATGTCTATAATGATGAAAGCTTACTTATACATGCAAGTCTTTTTGGAGTTTAATTGACGACGTTTATCTAGTATATCTTATTATTCCCATTTCCAAAGAAAACATGTCTATCAACCTGTTAAATTGAAAGAATGAAATGTATTTAGATATATATATGTTCGTTGCTTTTATGTAAAAATATCAATGACTAGCTTTATTTATATACCTAATGAGCTTTAGTCAGATAATGCTATTGAAAGGCAAAAGGACATTATCTATTTCAAGATCAGACATCATTATATTCACAACCTCTGAGTGGAACTCATATCTGTAGTTTTGATTGCGGACAAAAGATGTTCATTTTCAGAACGTACGTAGTATCACGAACATCTGATAGACAACATTATAACTTGTTAAATAACTCGATTAATTAATGAAACCCAATTAAATAAAGAAAAAAAATTACCTGGTCCATCTTCGTCACTCTAAAGAAGATGAACAAAATATGTATGAAAGTCGAAAGGTACCTCTTTTATTAGAATTGTCGAATAATTTGACTGGATATGCTTGAGCTATATAACTGCTAAAAAGTGTCTGAATGGAATAACAAAACCTTCTCGACTCACTTTATTACCATACAAACGGCGTTTTAATCATAGATTTTGTCAAACAACAAAAAAACAACAGGGTTATCCTCTCTTGATTAAGCATGGAAAATAAACCTTTCCAATATTCTGAAAGTAAACAATATAATATACTATTTATCTTTTTCATTAAAACTTTTACAGTTAATGATGTTTTTTTCCAGATATTCTTCATAGCACTGAGTGGATTTTTTACAGTCTTTGTGCAGAGTAAACTAAGACCCATACCACTACCACGTACTTTGAAAAAATGCCTGGAAGATAAACAGGAATCTCGTCCTACTCTTACCGACGAAGAAGCTATAGGGACATGTATGTTAGATTTTATGTGGAAAAATGACATGAAATGCGGAACAACATCCCAGGATACAATTTCATGGTTTGCTCAATTGGCGGTGAACAGAGTTAATACGACAATGCAAAAAGGTCGGCATACATGGGGACATGCAGAGAAGAAAAGGGGGATAAGAAAAGAATACAGAATGATAACAGATACTGAAAGAAATGATTACCATAGAGCCGTTAATGCTCTTAAACGAAACACTGTAAGGCAACGTTTTCTTTTATTTAGTATGGGCGTTTATATAAATTTATAAAGTTAATTTTCATTTCTGCTCGTAATTAGATTAATGCCGAGGTTTCCTTTTCGGAACTTTTTAAATTCGGGTGACAAAACACCATAGGATATTTCCACACCTTGCAAAGTACAGAAAGTAATGGAAAAACATGAATTGTATGTTTAAATTTGAATTTAATTGAAACCGTTTCAGAACATTAACAGTTTTTTATCAAGAATATTTAACCTTTCATTGGACACATAGATCACAACTATTATATACAGTATCAACTTTTTCAAGTTTAAATTTAGATTGCTGCTCATTATCAAATCAATACCTTTATATAACCTACGTTGATAAGATCACCTTTTATTGGTTATTTCAGAAATTGAAACTTTTAATTGATATGGTTACGTTTAATGTGTGTGATCCACTCTAGGGCTAATAACCCCCACTTGCTTGATGAGAATGTTTTCCTAGCTTCCAATATATCAGATATTATTTTATTTTATTTCCAGGCGATAAGACCAAACAAATATGATGCGTTAGTAGAATTCCATCGTGGTTTAGCCGGGACGTCTGCTCATCGAGGACCCGCGTTTTTAGGCTGGCATCGTTATTTCCTGTTCTTGTAAGTATCCTCTTGTCTTCAGACAACTAAGGAAAGTCGTAGTAAGATACAGGAAAATGAAAATAAATCGGTCCTTTATAGCCCGGTCAGTATTAGTTTTTTCAGTTTATTTGCATGAAAGTTTCGTTTAACGAAGACATTTATATAGTTTATCTTTTGGCAATTATTTTTTAAAATATTACAAAGAAACCAAGGTTTCAACTCTCTCAGCCTGGCAAAGTTGACCTAAAATGGATTTGGCTATTATGTTAGGTCTTTTTTTTTTGTCACAGAGCTCTTCAACTGTTTCGGTATTTATAAATCATTGGCTTTCAAATATTTGGCTTTGGGCGTTCCTGATGAAGGTACATCCAGAAAAGCGCATCGGGCGCATGACATTTATAAAGTGTTGTTTTCATTTTTTTTTTGGCAAAACTCTTGATAAATCTAAATAAATTAAATATTTCATTTATGAGAGACAACAAGATTTTTGCATGGTTTCTATAGCATGAAAATAAGTTGAACTCATGGCCATCTGATCATCTCTTCATTCCGGAATGGAACTATTTTTCAAAGTTTCGCCTATATTGGCCCGACTTCGTATATCATTGGAAAAGAAAAGGTTTATTGTTCATTATGCCTTATTATTAACTTAACCAACGCTCACGGACAGAGAACATGTTGTAAATAATAAGTGAACGAAAGGAGATGAGGGTATACGTTGATATGATAGCATACCAACGACAGTGACAACACAAACAATTGTCTACAAAAGAAGCTAAAAATTGTACATGTTCGTAACTTTGCCGTCTCTGTAATATTAGTATTAATTCTGTTCTGATTTTCGAATATCGTAATCTGAAGTCTCTTTCTCCTACATACATCACTTTTAACTCCTTGGTTTGACCTAGCAGGGAATCAAACTCAAATCGAATATACTAACAGGAAACAACCGAAACGGCTTAATTGGCAATTGTTTGTATAGTTTCTTTGACGGGTAATAGAAACAGAAAACATAATCAAGGAATAGTTGGATCCACACAGAAAACAATAAACATATGTCTCTAACTATGTGATCGTTACTCGAAATAAATAACATTTAGTCAGGTATAGCGATTAATTCTTTAATTTGATACATCTTAACCAAATAGCAGGAAAGTCCGTTTACATTTGCGTTCCTTCGGTTTTCGTTTGAGAAATTCAAAACAAAAAGCAAAAACGAAAGTGTTTTTGGTATACGATAAACGGAAGTGACTGCTAAATGTCGTGCAATTATTTTATATCTGTACTAAGACTTGATGTTATGCTTTTAGTCTGTCATATTTATTTCACGATATCTAGGAGTGATTTTTCTATTTTAAATATGCCAAAAATCAAATTGAAAATATTAAATCATATCGACTTTGCCCTGATTTTTATACGTGAAATATAAAGGTAATTTCTTTTCGAACAAAATGTTTTGCAGATACGAACAGGCACTTCAAGAAGAAGTACCAGGTGTGATGCTTCCATATTGGGCTTCATCACTTGATGCAGAAATGACAGATGCAACGGATTCTGTTATCTGGACGGATTTATTTGCCGGTAATGGAAATGGATCGGTAAAAACGGGACCATTTGCAAACTGGATGACGCTTACTGGACAATTGACAAGAGCAATAGGGCAGGGCCAACTCATGGATATGAAACGAGTGCAGGAAACGATAAATAACCACTATAATCACGATACATTTGGAGTAGATTTGGAAGGGCAACATGATAATGTTCATTTATATGTTGGTGGTCAGATGGGTGATATAAAAGTAGCACCATCAGATCCAATTTTCTTCATGCATCATGCGTACGTTGATTGTATATGGGAACAATTTAGGGAAAGATTAAAACGTCGCTTCGTTGACCCTGTCGACGATTATCCAGCTGGTACAGATGGTCATGGAGCAGACGATATTATGATTAATCTTCCACGATTCCCTAATAAAAGATCGCCATCTTTCCATGGAACGCTGTTGAAGAACAAAGATGGCTACCGAAATTTTTGGACTGATGATTACTATACATGTGACCCAGTTCCAGAATGCAGTTACACAAATCCTAACTGTGGCTCTGAATGGCTAACGTGTAATGTATTCACCCAACGTTGTGTTTCAAAGGGATCTGCTGCTGCACTTCCAAAAATAACACCAACGCAAATGATGAAGGTTATGTACCAATGTTTTCCAGATCGATTACCATCTCACATGAAACCACTAGCCACGCCTACCGACTTTCCGACTTTAACATATGAAATGATTTCTTCGGGTGAAATGTTTTATACAGTTATAAAAGAGTCTTCTACTACGACAACAACTCATCATATTGGTAAAAGAGCCGTTCATAATCATCGTCAACGAAACATGATTCAAGAGATTGAGGTCGAGACCGTGCATGGACCAAAACGCTTTCAAAGACATAGAACCCCACCAATGACGGGTCGTCCTATAATACAGAATGTCACATGGCCGACAGTCCCTGCGGTTCGTAGTAAGGATATTGCTTGGGTAACGCAGACCCACCACGTTCGCCCAACTCCCCGACCAATTGAGCATATTAGACAAACACAATCTAGAACTGAGCACGAAATTCCAACTGTTCCAACTACTTGGACTATAGAAGAATTTTATATTCCAGAAATCGAAAAACCATGTGATGGGTATCCAATTCAAAACACATTTTCTCTCAACTGTAAATCTAAAACTAACTTGTGGGTATTTGTTCCAGTAAAAGTTGTTCATGTCCGACATGGTGACGTAAAATATACTAACTATAAAGTTGATGAAGACGGTAGGTATTCCGATGAAGATATATATTCAACTGGAGAATGGATTGAATTCTTTAATGGAAAGCCGTTAAAGAAACGCCCAGAAATCGGCAAATGTAGAAATGACAAATCAGGTTTGGTAAAAGTGCGAGTGACCTCAATTGGACTTAGTTATGATGGTACATACCGAGACCACGTGTTCGTTGATAATAGACAACCGGTAACAGAAGCAATTACCTTTATAGCCGTAAAAGACCCGGATATGAACCCAACCAAAGTACTTTTTACGGCTGTAGATCAGTGTGGGATATCCTGTCGGGCTTATTGTCGCCGAACTAGAAGATCAGGCTATGAAGAATGTAGTGGAGCTGTCGAGTTGACCTCAGGATATCCTAAAGGATATGCTAAAACATACAGAGATTCGGCAAGAAATGTATGGCAAAGTTCTGGTTCAAATATAGTACATGCAGATGAAAACGAAATCGCTGTCATCTTTTATTGTGATTACCAAAATTATCGCCCAAAAAAACTATTCTAATAAATTTATGCATTTCTTAGATGACATGCCTGACAATTTTTATTAACAAACATTGATATGGTAAAGATCAATCCAAAAGGAAAAAAGATACTTACTTATTTAGTTATATGATTTTTTTTATTCATATTAGGTGACTTCTTAAATATAAAATGAAAAGGCTGTGGTATAATTGCCAATGAGACAACTATCCACCAGAGACCAAACAAAGAGGATGTAAACAACTACTGGTAACCATGTGGCCTTCAACAATGAGCAAAACCCATACCATAAAATAAGCTTTACGAATAAAAGGCATGACAGAATGTGAAAAGTATTATTATTATTTTATTATAAATGAAAAGAAAAAAAATTAGTTAACAAGGTACTTAAGTACAAATTAAATGTGTATTGAGATATTGCAGGGTTAATTATTTCATACTTAATTTTAAACTAGCCAGAACATACCACATAAGGTGAAAAACTTAAGAATTTTTTTAACATAAAATAGATGTAACCAAAAAATCCGGAAGCCTACACTCCTTCGCAACGCTTAAATAAAATTCTATGGAAACGCCACAGAAAAGGCTTTACAATACGTTCAGCAACAGATAAAATTTGATTGGTAAAATAGCAAGATTGCGGAAAGACTTAATGCCTTGTGATTGTGGAAACAGTAAAAAATAACACATGTATGCATATTTCATTTTATTAATCAAAAATCAGCAGTATGTAGAAGTACAACAAATGGAAAATAAAAACCTGACTTATAATCTCACGAGATGTCAGCGGACTTTCGAATATCAATGGCTATCAACTGGGCGATAGCTACCCTTTAAAAGATAATTTCAGGGATTTTTTTCTCTGATTTTTAAGACGAATATCTTGATATTTTATCATCATATTGTCTTCCATGGATTTCCCCCGTCCGACAGTAAATTCTTGCTAAAGTGGGGCATTCGTATGGCTGTGTAGGACGTATAAATACGCAGGCACATCCGGTAGGAATTGGGAAGTAGGATGAATGCTACGTTCTTTGTGCGTTAAAGAACCCTTGCAACAAAACTCTTAGATGACCTGTTTCATTGTGTAAAATGTCTGTCCCTATCCAACATTTCCTCATTTTCCAGTGTCAGTCAAAATTTCCAGCCCTTCATACCGGTCGACCTACTTTACAAACCCTACATTTCAAGTCCTAAATACGCATGAATATTTGAGGATGAACGTTAAGTAAGCAGCAATCAATCAATTCACGATATTATCGAAATCCAACACAATGAACAAATCTAGATTTATGCTTTGCAAATACCTAAAATATCATTCTCTACATAGAAGTTTTTGATTAAAATAGTTCATGTTAAATTTACGTTTTGAAAAAAAATGAGCACTAGTGGAAAAGCTAGCATGATCATGTGAAGAAAAGATTGATTATGTTTTATGGCATTAGAATCAAACGAAAGAAGTGTTGAGACCACATTGCAATATTGATGTAGTAATTTCCTGTATCATAAATATGAATAAGGCATTAATATTAAATTGAACTCAAATTTTGAGTGATACATTTTGTATGTTAATTCCCATTTCATTAATATGTAGTTGTGTTAAAACTAAAGTTGTAATTTCATCAGGCAGAGACAATTTGGCTCATTGCATTACATTTGCGCGTATTATCATTACATTTGAGCGTAAAAATCATTACGTTTGCGCGCAGCTTTTGATTACATTTGCGCGCATTCATTTACAGGTAAATACTAATTTCTTAGGCCTTGTAGTTATGCCGGCTGTAGCTTTTTTCTTTACAACCGCACGGGTAATCTGCCTCTCAAGTTTTCTTAAATCTAACTCATGTATGGTCACAGTTACCATTTTTACCCTGCCTTTGCAATCCTTCGAGGTTCATAGCCATGAAATATCCCCTGACTTAAGTGTTCTGTCGATACGGGTAGTAAATCCATCGTACACTAACATTTTTTTTCCTTTGGTTTGTTTCTAACAAACGAAACTCCATGTTTGTGCCTTGACGCAACTTTACAAACTGACTTGAATTATTTACTAAAGCGATCGTATATATTAGGTAAACTTGATAAGGAAACAATGCTATTCACTCTGAAATATTCGCAATTAAGTTAACATGTTAAATATATGATTGTTAACAAATATGTTCAAAATTAATAACTATAGTCATATTAATTATGAATTATCTTTATTTTTATCTGTGTTACCTGTGAAATGAATGCGCGCAAATGTAATCAAAAGCTGCGCGCAAACGTACACATTTTTAATCCCCAAATGCGCGCAAATGTAATACGCCTTTTTTGGCTGTTCTGTTTGACCCTTTAAGTTTATTATACTCTAAAACATGTTATGTTTTATCTTTCCAACCTTTTGGAAACGAGTATTCTTAATGAAGATTACACCAGAAAGACAGAACACACTGACCTCGTTTTAAGCGGTTATTGAAAAGACTGAGATATCGTCTGCCAATTATTTGGTGTAAGTGTTCCACAATGAATATCACTGAACATGCAATTACACAACTTTGTAATCAAAAATCTATATATTGAACAAAACAATTCAAACAAATGCTTAGTTATTTCCCAGATGACATTTATTAATACTAAACCCCTTCTTAATTTAGCGTACTTTACTGGACCACAAACTCCCTGTTTCGTAGCCTAATAGTAGTGCACCGATTTTCAAATATCATAAATTGATTAAGCAGACACATCAAGATAACAAACAAAAACTGAGGGAATCGATCCAACTCCAATAGTAACTACACCGGAATTGTCGACAGAGTAAGCGTCTCCTGCTATGCATACATCACCCACCAGCTATACTACACGAAAGTGGAGAGCTGAGATCTAAAACAACTACTTTTACCCCAATACATGACTGTTCTCGTATCCGTCCCGAGCCAGAAACCTCTTCATTTTTTGTCTTATGTTTGTTTCTTTTATGTTCTTTTTACCGTAAGAGAATTTGGTCTTGATTTAAATCTTTGAAAGATTCTGTTAACGTTATTCATAACTTTTTTCAAATCTTTTTTCAATAATGTTCTTAGTGTCGTCCGTCCCACGATTTGGTTGGCTATCAATTATTATTGCTGCTACTACTAAGTATTTAAAAAGGTACTTTAAACGACCACCTACTGCAAACAAAAGAACTTAATTTCATCAAGTATATATGCTGTAAAATTTTCGCTGTTTTCACATTATCTTAATTTAATGGGGAGTTTAAATATAATTTTTCGTAAATCCTTTGCTTTCAATTTTTCGGGGTTTTTAAGTACGAACAAAATTCATAAAACAACAGTAACCCAACGATTTGAATTAGTTTAGGTAGATCAACGGGGGACATACAATATGAAAAAATATGATTCCAGTATTTCATGTCATCTGTTTTATATCTTTAAGAGTCAAAGATCGACAACTCTGAAACATTTGACACCGTTAAAAATCCTATTTAAATATTTTTTGCCGAACATTCGAGACCATTGAGTATCTTCAATAAAAATAGATCGCAAAAATAGCGGCTAATATTTAAATCATGTGCATACGTATTGATTGTTAATTTTCTGATACAACTGACTCATGCATGTGTAACATAACTTGGTTTTGGCGCATCTGTTTGGAAGCTTTTGGTTTTAAACGCCCAAATGATTATATTGACATCTCAAACCTTTGACATCATGAGTACTGCACAATGTCGTCCGTTTCTCAGAATGTTTATGACGTCCTTGCACTTAATCCGTTGGATGTGTACTACTTGACACTTTAGTCTGGGAAAACATGATTTATTTACTTATTAGTTGTAATTGGCTTTGAACTATAGCTTTCAGTAACTGCGAGTACTCTTATATCGGTACTTTATGTCTATTGGTTTCTTTGTGCTTCGTGCCTATTCATTGAGTTAAGTAAATCTGTTGGATAGTTGTCTCTTTGGGTTACATACCACATCTCATTATTTTTATATTGATGCTCATTTTTTTTAAATAATCCTGTACGCAGTGACATCTGGTCCATCATTTATCAATAGATTAACGTCTATCACTTGAGCATTTTAAAAATAAATACGATCGCTTATCTTTGAATGAATTGTTTCTGTGTAATGGAATAATCCCCTTATTTGTTTTAATTTCACTTTATACTTGCCAAAGACTAAATCTTTCCAAGTAAGTCATTACTATTCTTCAAAAGAGGAAATCCCCATACTTAGAAATTAATAACGTGTTGTTTTCATTTTTTACAGCAGTGGGTCGATACCTCTACGACTATCATTCCCCGAGGGTATCATAAGCTCAGTAGTCAGTACATCGGTACTGGCATGATTAATAACAAACCTTTTTAAAATTTTCCGTTTATAAATTTTAGAATTTTAAAGATACTAAGGTTTCAACTCCCTCAGGCAAAGTTGACCTTAGATGGATTTGGCTATTTTTAGGTACTTTTTGTTATATAGCTCTCCAACTGTTTCGGTTCTTATACATCCTCGGCTTTCAAATATTCGGCTTTGAGCTTTCCTGATGAAGGTAAATCCAGAAAAGCGCTTCGGACGCATGAAATTAATTACGCGTTGTTTTCATAGACATATCTGGTATGCCTTTTGATTTACCATCAAGATGATGAACTGGATAACCAAAGTTATACGTTACATACACAACCATTGTGTTGATCAAGTTTTTTTAAAAATATAAATCAAGTCGAATTGAGTAATGTTCTTACCGATGACGGGATATGGACACGACATTAAAACCTATATTAAACACGTAATATATTTCGTTCTCTAAATACGGTACCCGTCGAATGAAACGAATCTCAATTTCTTTATAAAAACAAAAACAAAAAAGATTCGTATGCAATTTGTAGTATGGAAAATAATTGCAAGTTCTTGCAACATTTATGTATTCATTTCGATCTTGATTTAAAAAAAAATAGAAAATGAATGACGATGAAACACGGTTTGGGTTTCCTGAAAGTTAAAGTAACTGACTAACATTTATGCTGGTGTTCATGATAGGAATA